TTCCCTCCTCCCTCGTCGTTGTCGTCGTCGGCGTCGCCGTCCTTCCTCCTTCTTCGTCGTTGGCGTCGTCGCCGTCTTCCCTCCTCCATCGTCGTTGTCGTCGTTGTCGCCGTCGTCGTTTTTTCTCCTCCCTCGTCGTCGTCTCCGTTGGCGACGTCGTCGTCGTCTTCGTCGTCGTCGTCGGCGTCGTTGTCGTCGTCGTCGGTGTCGTCGTCGTCGTTGTCGTCGTCGAAAACATTGGAGACGTCGTCGGTGTCGTCGCAGTCGCTGTCGGCGGCGCCGTCGTCGTCGATGCCGCTGTCATCGTCGGCATCGGTGTCGTGGCCAAGTGCCACGCAGTACCTACCGTCACGGTCTTGTCTGAAGATGTCTTGCGACCAAGTTGCGGGTGGGAGGGTGGGATGTTTGCACACGAGCAGTGGAGAGGACAGCTTCAAGACAGTCGAAGTGGATTGCACCACGTAGATAGCACAGCATAAACCGCACCACATAGGTTTCACCAAGCAGACGCCACCACATAGATTTGATCGCACGGCATACATTGCACAACACAGATTCCACAGCACAGTTCGCGCCACATGTACCGCACCACATAGATTGCGCCGCAGATGTTGCACCGTCTAGATTGCACCGCATAGATTGCACCGCATAGGCTGCACCACATAGAAATGCTAGAGACGCACTGCAGGGGTGTGACGCTGGCTGGCATGTTTCACCACGTCTTTCTGCAGTAGTCTTCGCTCTCGGCTTCTTGGGCCCGCTGTCCGGCCCGGGGACCACCAAAGACGGATCCAGGACGGAAATTGTCCCGGGAGAAGGTGCTCTGGAGTCGTGAGGCCGCGCGTTGTGCGAAATGGTATTGCTTGACGTCTGGGAGGGGAACTTCGAAGGAGGAGGAGGAGGAGGATTGCGCTCAAGTCTTCGAACAGGCGGACGAGGAGGACTTCGGCGACCGAACGTCGGCATGACCATAAGCTTTCGGAGGTCCGCGCGGATATCGTGGGTGGATCGGCGCTGGACCCCTCTGGCGGCGCCGCCAGGGCCCCCCCTGGCGCGCTCCGCGCGCCAAGAAGGGGGGGTCAGCACGGATCAACAAAATCCGAGCGGATCTCCAAAAGTTTATAGGATGAATTTCCGGTAATGAGGAGGGAGGATCACGAAGAGGAGAACAAGTACTTGGACGCCCGAAATGGGTACGGAAAGAATGGGCACAATGCTCAACAACAAATGTTGTCCCAAACCAACAGTGGCCGCTGTTGGGCAGGCGGCCTTCTGTCTCAAATGGACAGGCCGCGGCGACACCGACAGCGAGTCCTGTTCAGAATGAACAGGAACTGCTGTTGGGCATTGTACCCATACTTTCCGTGCCCATTTCGGGCGTCCAAAAAGCAAGTCCGAGGATGAAAGCGTTTTGGGCAGTTCTATGCGTGCTATGGTCAGGGCTCGGCCCTGGACAGGTCCGGGAGCCAACCTTTTCAGGGAGAAAACCAGCGGAGATGTTACCGAGGTCTTTCGGATGCCCCTCGAAGCTTGGATGTCTGTCGAACGGCGTCTCTTCTCCTCCTCCTCCCCCTCCTCCTCCTCCTCATCCTCATCCTCATCCTCATCCTTCTCCTCCTCTGCCTCCTCTCTCCCACCTTGTTCGGCCACGGGTGACTTGCGTTCGTACAGTCGGACTACGTGTGTGTGTTCCCGCTTAGCTTCGACCGGAAGAGGTGCGCTCTCGACCCGCGGATCGAAAAAGCGTGTGTGTGTGTGTGTGTGTGTGTGTGTGTGTTTGAGATGTATATCAGGCCTCTACAGTGGCCGTGGTCGGGTGCGCGGTTAGAGTTCGGACCGTCCTGGCGCCCCCACTTCGAGTGGATCCAAGAGCGCTTGGCCATGTTTGTGCAAGGCAAGGGCGAGCACCCCGAATCCACTGTCACGGTGCACCCAGGCTCTTGGACTACGCTGGGAACGATTGAGGCGTTTCGCGAGCAAGCTGCTCTGTTTTCGAGGTGTGTCTCGAAGTGCATCTCTGCGCCACGCTTTGGAGTTGCTGCGCATGTTTCTGTTCGACGGCTGGTATCACAAGGGTTGTACATTTCCTCAGCTCCATCACCTCCCCCTCCTCTTCCGTTCTCCTCCACATCCTTCTGGCGGCGGCGGCGGGAGGAGCGAGTATAGAAGGTGCAGTGGAGTCCACCCACCCTGGATCTTTCCTTTTTGCGTTGGACAGGCTTCAGCTGCTGGGCCGTAGCGTTTGGGCATGCACACAGATCGGCCGACTCAGCGAATCGAGCAAAAGAATTCGGGTCACGCACTGGTGCGGACAAAGAAGTGCAGCGAGACAAGGCAAAAGTGGTTGCCCCCGTGGGCAGAGTCACCGAGTCCGCTGCAGTGCAAGCTACCTCGCCCGTCCTCCCCCTCTTCCTCCTGCTCCCCATATCCTCCTCTCGCCGGAGCTATGTTGCTTCTGGCATGCTTCTGTAAGTTATGCCACGCGTGACAGTCCAGAATTTATGCTCAGCGTGTCGCTCCGCCAACGCCGCGGTGCGAAACGCTACTATCCACTTCCTGGACCGCAGGCATCCGCGTCCCGAGCCCTCCCGAGCCTCCCGGCCCGTGGAGCGGAGCGACACGCTATCCGTTCGCAGTGCATAGCGTGTCGCTAGGCCCGCCACTGTAGAAGATACCGTCGAGTCCCCATCGCTTGTTCCTCACCCTTCCTCCTCCCTCCCTCTCCTCCTCTCGCTCGTGCTTGCTTGCTTCTGGGGCGCTGCTGCAAAGTACGCCACTGCTCAGTCTCTGCCACGTGGGCCGTGGAGTGCATGGTTTAGTCTCCGTCCTCCTACCCCCCCTCCCATGGATTAGTAGGTCGACCCTGCAAAATCAAGGGTACGTTTGTGTCCTGTGTCTCGCGACCCATGCCTCCTGCATTCCTGTGGCAATGTGGCCCTCGGGAGGGTGTTGTGTCCTCTCGCTAGTCCTCTGTAATCAAGTTCGACTGTTTCCCTTCCTCTACCCCCCAAACAAAAATCGACTAGACGTAAGAGTGACCTTTCGCCGGAGTGACCTTCGGTGCGGGCACATATGGGTCCCCAGATGGCTGAAAACGTCGCAGTAGCAGCTGCTTGCGCGCCCAGGTTTGGGCCCTCGCGGCCCCCGAAAAGTCGCGCACCAAAGGTCACTCTTACCCAGGGTCGCCCTCGCGTATAGCCGATGAAAATAACATACAGGATACAGTGCCGTTTTTCATACATGCTCAGCGTGCGGATCATGTACTAGAAATGCATGGATTTAGTATCAAACTCAACCAGGAGTTCATGCATAAATGCACTCATAAATTAACCATGTATTAAAATCCAATATATATATACACATTCCAGGATCAAGCCGGATCAACCCAGGATGAGATAGACCAATATTCAGCGGATCTGTGCCAAGCTAGGCCAGTTTTCGGAAACGGAAAAACGAGCACAGGCGATTTAGCTAGGTCCAAACGCCGATATTCCTGGACCAAGCAGGATCATAGACCGGGATTCAGCGGGTCTGTACACTAGGCCAGTTTTCGGCCACGGACCCCCCGAACTGACGTCGCAAAAACTTGCAACGTCACGAGAAATCACCACTGGAGCCCCGGACCCCATCACTCTGCGTCATTGTCCGCGCGCCAGCTTGCGAGCCAGATCGGCCTGCGAGGGTCCCGCGCCCCGACACCGGGCGAAAACGCCCGTTGGGAAACAAGTGCCGCACCAGGATCTCAGGGAATGGGCCAGCTCAGAGGCCTAAAATGCACTCTCGGAGGAGCTGCACCCTGATACATGTATGTAGACATACACGTGCGTAAATAGACATATTTGCATACATACATACATGCATACAAACATACATACATGCATGCATACATGCATACATACATACATGCATGCATGCATACATACATTCATACATACATACATCCATCCATACATACGTCTGTATATATATATATATATATATATATATACTCAGCTGTAGTACATATATCTCTGTGTAAATAAATATAGGTATGTGCCCTGGTTATGGACATGGATAGATGCATACGAGTGTATACACATGTATGTTTACATCTAGGCAAGTAATATACATACATACATATATATATATATATGTGTAGTTATATGTATATGTATATGCGGTGCATCTATATATATACACATACATACTAAAATCCGATATATTTTAATATTTTTTTTTAAAAAAAACAACAAAAAAAAAAAAAAAAAAAAAAAAAAAAAAAAAAAAAAAAAAAAAAAAAAAAAAAAAAAAAAAAAAAAAAAAAAAAAAAAAAAAAAACTGCCCTGTACAGCCAAGACGTTTCACCAAGGGCCGCTTTGGGCTCGGGAGGGGCTCTGGTCTGCCTCCCGCCGCTCCTCGGGCCCAGGCCGGGGGAGCGCTCCTCGCGGCGGAGGCTCGCCGTGGCCATGGGGGGGCCCCTCGCTCCTCGCCCGGCGCTCCTGCGGGGCACCACTGCGACGGTGGACGGGGGGAGGGCTAGGCATAGGGGGGGGGGATGCATCGACCCCAATCGCCCATTGACCGCCAATGGGGGCCCGATAGCCCCGACGTGCCCAGCAGGGAGGTGCGGATTCACAGTCGGGGGTAGATCGCCGATCGATCGCCCGTGTGTCGCCGATTCCAGGCCGATGCATCCCCCCCTGTGCCAGTCCCCCCCTATCGTTGCCCCCCAGAGGAGGGGGGAGGGCCGCAAAGGGGGAGGAGGAGGGGTGGGGGCAGGGATGGAGGAGCGGTGGCACCACCGTGACTGTAGATGAGGAGGAGGGAGGAGGGCCGCAGATGGGGAGGAGGAGGGGCGGGGGCGGTAGGCTCAGTACATGAAGGGCGGTGGGCGCAGGAGGGAGGACGGGCGATGGAGGTTGGGAAGGGGAGGGGCAGGACGGAGGAGGCGGGGAGGGGGGAGGCAGAGGAGGAAGCCGGAGCCCAATCGCCGGCCCGGTGTCTGCGGGAGCGCAGCGCAGGCGCTGGTGCGCGTCGCCGAGGGCGACCGCCTGGAGGCGCTGAGGCTCGGCAGTCCGCCGCCGTGGTCGGCGGCCGCGTTGGCGTCCTTCGCGCGTACGCCGTCCGCCGTCTGCCGTCCATCGCGCGTCGTGTTCGTCGTCGTCGTCGTCGTCCCGGAAGGAAAACGAAAAGCATGCGAAAACGAAAAGTTGGGAGGTCCGCGCGGATATCTTGGACGGGCACTGGGCTCCCCCCTGGCGGCGCCTCCAGTACCGCCACCGGCGCGCTCCGCGCGCCAGTCCAGCGGGGTTTTGCGCCGATTCAGGAGTTCCGCGCGGACCCCCGACAGTCTATGATTTGCCAATGTGTCTGTCGTCCTCTGCGTCCGCCGTTCGAGGTCGTCCGCCGTTCGGCACCGTCGTCGCCAAGGCTTCGCGAACAGTCCGCCGTCCGTCGGCCTTCCCGCCCCTCCCTCACCTGGAGTCCTCGCCCTTCCCCTCGTTCTCCTGTTTCCTTCTCCCTCCTCCCACTCCTCCTCCTCCTCCTCCTCCTCCTCCTCCTCCTCCTCCTCCCCCTCCTCCTCCTCCTCCTCCTCCTCCTCCACTTCCCCCCCCCCTCTCTCCCTCCTCTGGTCTGGCGCCTCCTCTTGTTTCGTTGAATTGTCGCTTGTTGCGATTTGGAAGGATGCCTCCGCGGGGTGGGGGGAGGGGGGGAGGAGAAGAAGGACAGATATGATGCTGAGACGGAGGAGGAGGAGCAGAAGATGACGGCAAACGAGCGGATGGAGGTAGGGAGGAGGGACGGAGGGAGGAGCAGGAGAAAGACGAGGAGGAGGAGGAGGAGGAGGAGGAGGAGGAGCGCCATGAGAAGGAGGGAGGGAGGAGACAATATCGCCATCCTTTCCCGTTCGTCCTCCCTCCTCATGCTCCTTCTCTCCTCCTCCCCTACCCCATAGCCCTCCGCGCACGATGTGGGAGGACGGGGTTGGATAAGTAGAGGAGGAGGGGGATGTTGTAGGAGGAGGAGGAGGAAGAGGACCACCAAGAGGATGAGGATGATGACGAGGATGATGATGATGATGATGATGATGATGATGATGATGATGATGATGATGATGATGATGCTGATGCTGATGATGATGCTGATGATGATGCTGATGCTGATGGTGATGATAGTGATGATGGTGATGATGGTGATTATAATGATGATGCTGATGATGATGCTGATGATGATAATGATGATGGTGGTGATGGTGGTGGTGATGCTGATGATGGTGGCGATGGTGATGCTGATGATGATGGTGGTGGTGATGGTGATGGTGATGGTGATGATGATCATGATGATGATGATTGTGATGGTGATAGTGTTGATGATATGCCCATGACGGTGATGATGATGATGATGATGATGATGATGATGATGATGATGATGATGATGATGATGCCGATGATGATGATGCTGTTGCTGTTGCTGATGATGATGATGATGAGGAGGAGGAGGAGGAGAAGCAGGAGCAGGAGGAGGATAAGGAGGAGGAGGAGGAGGAGGAGGAGCAGAGGAGGAGGAGGAGGTGGAGTGAGGGGGGGTGCATCTCGCCGTCGCTGTGCTTTCGCCCGCCACGAGGTGCCCGAAGCCTCCCTAAAGGGGCCACAGGCGTCAACAGACCTCGATCCCTGGAGCCCGCAGAGACAGGAAGGCTGAATTCATCGACGAGCACTACTATGTTTGATGGCTCTGGCCGTCTTGGGGAACTCATGCTGATCTCTGGGGGTCATCAGGGGCCTCCCCAGGTCCTCCCAGGGGCCTCTCGGGAGCTCACTCCCGAGGCAACGCCTCGGGGATCGATATTCGGGGACCTCTGCAGGCGTTGGGTATTGATGCATCCGGGCCCGGCTCCCAGGACGTCGGTTCCCCAGGCGGTGGATATGGATCAGGAGGGGAAAAAACACACAGACACAATTAATCGTCGATCCCCAGGAAAATATGGGAAAATATGGGAAGTGGTGGGGAAGACAAAAACCCACAAAATACGAGAAAATATGGGGAATTCTTTTATTTGTGTGTATTTATTTGTGTGTCCTTGGGCCCCTTCAATGGATACATCCCCGCCTCGTATTGTTGGGGCCTCGTTGGTTCTCCTTCCTCGCTGCTGCACTCTCGCCCACCCCGGCCTCAGGGTGGCCCGCCGGCGCCCACAGTGCCTTCTGTCCTCCGCCGCGGGCTTCGAGGGCAAGACGCTGCGGGATCGCCGGCGCCGCCCACCCTGGCTCCCCTCCCTCTTTCGACCCTTCCCCCCCTTCTTCTTCCCTTCTCGACTTCTTCTCCTCCATGCCCCCCCCCCCCCCCCTCCTCTGCCTTCCCGTGTCTCTCCTCCTGCCCCCTGCGCCTCCCTCCCCCCTCCCCTGGTTTCCTCCCCCTCCTCCCACTCCTCCTCCTCCTCCTCCTCCTCCTCCTCCTCCTCCTTCTCATTCTCCTCCTCCTCCTTCTCCTTCCCATTTCCCTCGCCCGCCCCCCTCCCCTCTCCCGTTCTCTTCCTTTGGCCTCCCCCTCATTATCGTACCTCTTCCTGTATGTTCGTCTCATCCGTCTCCTCTCCTATTCCCCCTTCCCTTCATCCCCCACCTCACCGCCTCAGCCATCCTGTTGTCGTTATTATGTCTCGGGCGCTGGAGGAGTGTCACACCGTGGACATGGCCCACCTGCTGCATCCAACAGGGGGGGAGATGAGGGCTCGAGTCACATTGTGCCTGGGCGGTTCTGGGGACTGCTTTCTGTTTCGATCTCGATCCGCAGCAAAGGCAGAGCGACGACAGGAAGAAGGAAAAAGGAAACACAGCGAAACGGAGAACACCGCTTAGCTCGAGCCCCGATGAGGAGCTCGCGAAGCGAATCGAACCGCCCAGGAGCGCGACGAAAGCACACGCTCGGGAGCGTCTGCCCACAGCGTGCCGCGCTGCCGGCCTGCCCCCTCCCGCTGTGCCCCGCAGACGCGCTTCCGACGCGCCAGGCCGCCGGCCCACGGGTTCTGCACGAGCTGTTCTCAGAGCATTTTTCTGCCTGAGACAGTCGTGCTTCCGCACGTATGGTTTGGTCATAAGAGCATGGTTTCTGTTCTAAGAACAGTTTGGGGTTCTAAGTGCAGTTCGCGGTAGGTCTACGGGAATGCCGGGACGGTCGGTCCCTGCTCAAAAGGGGTGGGGAGGGGCCGGGGGGGGCTTTTCTTCCCTCCTGCACGCCGGACAATTCGCATGCCGGTTGCCCCGATGAGCCACACGCTGGAGCGGACTGCCTCTGCCTCGCCCGCGACAGAAAAAAGGTGTGCCTCGAGAGGGGGAGTGAGTTCGAGCGGTTTTTCGTGCCGAGCCGCCCCGAACAGGTGCCTCCCAGCCGGCGGCGGCTCCCGACAGTTGCCGACTGGTGGGGCCCGTGGGGCATGCGGGGGGCATCTGTTTGCAGCAGTTCGGTGCACCAGCTGGACTCATGCCCCCCCTCCTCGGGGTCACCCCCGCGTTGGTTGATCCTGAGCCTCCCCCACCCTGAGCTGAACTTTTCGGCTGCAGGGAGGTTCACTGCAAGGTTGCTTGGCAAGCTGCCTGTCTCTCCGAGTCAGCCTCCGGATCCAACGTCTGGGATCAGACTTCCTATTCGGACGGTTCCGCCTCCTCGCGCACTCACTCACTCGCTCACTCATTCACTCTCGCCTCCTTCCCTCACTCACACTCAGACCCATTCGCATTCAGATCCACGGATGATCAGACTCTCTCCCACTCTGGCTCAGACCATTCTCTATACCCAGCCAAAGCGTACGCATGCCCACACAAACATACGACTCACACTATGCTCGTTCAGATTCACAGCATGATCTCGGAGCGTGAATCACCTACCCCGCTTTCGCTTCCAGGTAAAACCAAGTCATACCACGCACCTCCTCGGCAAGCGGCCTGATCAGTGCAGGCCGTAGTTTGGCATCGCTTGGTATCTCTTGGAAGCGATGGTGGTCAAAAGCGGGATAGGTTTGTTTGCCCCCTATGATCACCGCAACCTATCAGGCGTGACACTGGGGCACCCCCAGAGCGGGAGCCGACATGGACGGGAACATTCGCCCGTTCGCGCTCAGACACTGGGGATGCCTTCCGCCGTTTGCTCGGCTCGTGGTTGGAATTCCTCTGCTTTCAGAGCACATCGTCTGGGCACAAAGAGAGGACAACGAACCCATACCGCTACACGTCCCTCGTTTTCCCACTGTTGGGCCTCCTCGGGGGCCCTCATCGCCACCGCTGGATTCGCCTTGAAATGTTGGTCAGAACGGGCCCCGGCAGAGTTCCATGGAGCATTGGTATCGGTACCTATCGGTTTCCCCAAGGATGTCCCGAGCGAGCCAGACGTAACGTTGTTTCAGTCACCCCCGCCACCTCTCCTGCCAGAGTCCCAGGAACATCCCGCTAGAGCAAGCATTGCGCGTGGGCACTCCAAGGGGGGAGCCGCCACGGATCGCTCAGTCGCCGCAGGCCAAGATTTTTTCATACAGGCACCCACAGGCGGGAGCGCCGGGAACTCAAATGCACAAATGAGGATCTCTGCGTCGAGTACGTTCTGTTCCTCCCTCCTCCCCCCCATTCTCATGCCCCCCGACCTCTCCCTTGTCCTTCCTCCTCACCCAACCACCTCCCCTCGCCCCTCCCCCTCCCCCCGCGCGCACTCTCCGGCGGGCGCGTGGCAGGAGTTCGACGCGGTCGCAGACGCGGCCGACCAGTTCAAGCCAGTGACGGACACGCTCCAGAGCATCGGTCCCGAGGGCGTCGCGATGGGAGCCGCAGCTCTTGGCCTGCCCACCCCTGCCCCCCCGCTCTTGGAGTCGTCACCTTCGCTCCAGCGCCTCTCCTCCGAGCTTCTGTGTGCGTGCCGCTGCACGCGTTTGGCTTTCTCAGTCGTGGGGGCAGGAGGCAGTCGGCGACCTGGCAGAAAGCAGGGTGCGCGCGATCTTCAATTTTCGTCTCCTGCCGGTCTCGCGATGGATCTCATCCGATCGCTCTCACCGTCGATCTCACTATATCGACCTCCGCGGGGCACCATGGGGAGGACACCGCAGGACACCGCGCCCACGGGACACCACGCGACACGGGCGGGGCACCTCCTGGCCACTGCCGGCCAACCCGGGGGGAGGAGAGATCTTGAGCCTGGCTTCGCTCTAGCCAGGAGAGGAACAAACACACAGACACAATTCATCGTCGATTCCCAGGAAAATATAGGAAAATATGGGAAGTGGGGGGGGAAGCCAGAAACCCAGAAAATATGGGAAAATATGGGGATGTGTGTTTTTGTCTGTATTTATTTGTGTGTCCCAGTTCCCATTTCGCTCCAGCCAGGGCGTGGTCATTCTTTCCACCCGCCCACGCAGCTTCGCCTCACCCGCACACACGATACAACTCCGGAACCAATCTCCCGGTGTAGGGCCTCCTTTTCATGCTGATATCTCTCCCCAACCTCCGATGTGTGCTCGACGCACAACTAGAAAGTGACTTTCCCCTCCTGCTCCGCTCCTCCATCCTCCCACGTCTTCCTCCCTGCTCATCCTCGTCATCGTCCTCGGGGGCCTCCTTCGGGGAGTGCCTGGCCTAGGACACGCCCAGCACGCCCCGGCGCGCGCCGGCGGATCCACAGAACCGGTTCCTGGTCGCGCCGTGGGGCCTGACTTTCTAGCGCGCGGGGGGGTGACTTTGGGAGGGAGGATGTCTTGAGCGAGAACCCCGGACTGCACTCGCCCGGCGAGCACCGGCTCGCGTCGGCGCTTGCCGGCGGATCCCCGGGAATGGTTCTTGGGGGCGTTGCTGGGCTGGACGTTCTCTCGAGAGCCCGAGGTCCCCTCTGGGAGGATATCTCGAGCGAGAGCCCCGGACTGCGGGACACGCCCGGCGCGCACCGGCGCTCGTCTGAATGCCTCCTTGGGGAGGCTCTGGGAGCCGGCCCACGCGAGGGCGCCGGTTTGCATTTCGTCGCGGGATGTCGGGAATTTTCCCGAAGCAGAACAAGAGGCATGAGGGCCTCCTGGAACCGTGGGGACGCTCTGGGTCGCTCCGTGCGAACTCGTCCTGTATTGATAGCGTGTGAGCGCTCTTTCGAGGGAGCAGGAGGGAGGATGAGGGGTGAGGAGGAGGAGGAGGAGGAAGAGGAGGAGAAGGAGGCGAAGGAGGAGTAGGAGGAGTAGGAGGAGGAGGGGAGGAGGACGAGGAGGAGAGGGAGGAGGAGGAGGACGAGGATGAGAAGGAGTTGTTTGGCAGTCGCCTGAGGTGGTATGTGTTGTATTGGATGTTTGCGTTGTGCTCGTTCTTCGAGCTTGTTGGCAGGCTAGCTCCCTAACAGGTCGGCTCGTTGTTGCGTCATTGAGCTTGGGAGTTCTGAACTCGTCTCTTTGGTTCACCAGACCCATTTCAGAAGAGTTATGCGCCCCTCGAGTTGGTTGGAACAGTGCAAGTCGTCAATATCTCGATATAGTCTCTTTCGAAATTTCGAATTCTCCCGAACAAGATTCTCACGAGAAGAAGGCGAGGAGATCAGAGTGGCAGAAAAAAAACGGTGTGGGCTCCGGCCCGGGCTCCGGCCCGGGCTTCGGCCCCGGCCCCGGACCCCTGGGCCCCCGCGGCCCCCGCCCCCGCCACAGTCCTGGCCCCGGCTCTGGCCAGGGCCTCGGTCCTGGCCCCCGCCCCAGCCCCAGACCCTGCCCCGGCCCTGGGAGGAGGAGGAGGAGGAGGAGGAGGAGGAGGAGGAGGAGGTGGAGAAGGAGGAGGAGGAGGAAGATGATGATGATGAGGAGGACGAGGAGGAGGAGGATGAGGAGGAGAAGAGGGGGAGGAAAAGGAGGAAGAGGAGGAGGAGGAGGACGGGCAGGATGAAGGCAGGAAAGAGGCAGCAGGCGTAATGAGGAGGAGGAGTCGGAGGAGGAGGAGGAGGAGGACGAGGAGGAGGAAGAGGAGGAGGAGGAGGATTAATGATAGTGATAAGAAACGACGGGGAGGAGGACGCGGAGGAGGATGAGGAGGAGGAGGAGGAGGAATACTGATAGTGATAAGAGACGGCGGGGGAGGCAGGAGGCGGATGCGGAGGAGGAGAAGAGGAGGAGGAGGAGAAATAATGAAAGTGATCAGAGACGACGGAACAGGAGGAGGAGGAGGAGAGGAGGAGGAGCAGGAGGAAGGGCAGGAGGAAGGCAGGAAAGAGGCAGGAGGCATAATGAGGAGGAGGAGGAGGAGGAGGAGGAGGAGGACGAGGACGACGACGACTAGGATGGGACAGAACGAGAAGGAACAGCAGCAATGGGGAAGCAAGGAAGCGAGAGAAGGTGGATGAGTCGGGGGAGAAAACGGATGAGGCGGAAAGGAGGAGGATGAGCGGGAGTGATAGGGGAAGGGCGAAGGAGGAGGGAGGAGGAAAAGCGCAGTAGGAGGAGCAGATGCTGGGGATGAAGATGAAGAGGAAGAAGAGGAGGAAGATGGTGATGAGGCGAGCTTATGCTCGGAACGCGCGCGCTCGGGGACAGGTCCATGGGTCTCTGAGGTGCAAAGGCTCGGGGGATTGCAGGATCATTGCGGGGCACGTCTGCGCTGCGTTGCAGGGGATGTGGGCGAGGCCATGTGGACAGGGCAGGGAGATGGACGGCGGGGAGTAATAACAGGTGAGATTAATGTTCAGTTATCCGCGCTCGGAGTGTTGGCAGATACCGGAAGATTTGACATGGGGCAGCATGCCGTGGACGCCCTCCAGTTGGCTCTGGTCTTCCCACTCCTCTTGCTCCTCTATATATTGCTCCTGCTCATCCCTTAGTCATTCCTGATCTGGCTTCTCCTTCAGGACGGTCGTCCAGCATCCCTCTGCGAGCCTTCTTTCCTCCATCTTTCCTCAAGCGAGAGAGTGCGCGCGCTTGCCGCGCCAGGTGCCTGCTTCACGGAGGACTCGCATCGCCCATACATCGCCGAGTGCGCATCCTTTGCCGATCTATCGGCGATGCATCGCATGAGGAGGCTTTGGGGAAACCGTGAGGGTGCCGGAAGCCAGCCTGCGTCTCCCCCTGGGTGCGTGGCTGAATTTGGGTTCCCCAGTGCGGGTTAGTGTTGCGTTGTTGCCTTTGGGTTGGGGGAACTCGGATTGCGCCCCCATCGCTCGCCAACCCCTCCCCGTGACGCGAGGGCGCTGGTTTGGAATTTGCCGCCGTATTGCTTTGATTTTTCCCGAAACGTAACAGGGCGGGGGGGGGGGGGGGCTCGGGGGGCTGGATAATTGGATGGCCCAAGCGACGGCGCTGGTTTGGAATTCGTCGCCGGATTTCCCAGATTTCCCCGAAACGGAACAAGAGGGCCTCTGAGGGCCTCCTTGGGCAGGCTCGTGGGGGGTTATGAGGATGTCCCACGCGAGGTCGCCGGTTGGGAATTCGTCGCCGGATTTCCTCAGAATGCAGCGGGCCGCTGCTCCTCTATATCATCCCTTAGTCATTCCTGATCTGGCTTCTCCTTCAGGATGGTCGTCCAGCGCCCCTCTGCGAGCCTTCTTTCCTCCATCCTTCCTCAAGCGAGAGAGTGCGCGCGCTTGCCGCGCCAGGTGCCTGCTTCACGGAGGACTCGCATCGCCCATACATCGCCGAGTGTTCATCCTTTGCCGATCTATCGGCGATGCATCGCATGAGGAGGCTTTGGGGAAACCGCGAGGGTGCGGGAAGCCAGCCTGCGTATCCCCCTGGGTGCGTGGCTGAAGTCGGGTTCCTCGGTGCTTGTTAGTGTTGCGTTGTTGCTGTTGGGGGAATTCGGATTGCGCCCCCATCGCTCCGCCAACCCCCCCTGTGACGCGAGGGCGCTGGTTTGGAATTCGCCGCCGTATTGTTTTGATTCTTCCCGAAACGGAACAAGGCGGGGGGGGGTTCGGGGGGCTGGATAATTGGATGGCCCAAGCGAAGGCGCTGTTTGGAATTCGTCGCCGGATTTTCCAGATCTCCCCGAAATTCAACAAGAGGGCTTCTGAGGGCCTCTTTGGGTAGGCTCGGGGGGGGTTCTGAGGATGTCCCACGCGAGGTCGCCGGTTGGGAATTCGTCGCCGGATTTCCTCGAAATGCAGCGGGGGGGGCCGTTGGCGGGCCCATTCCATCGCGCGCCAGGGGTTCGTATGACCTGAGTTCTCAAAAAAAACTCATTCAAACTACATTTTACCTTCAACAGCATGGGTCACAGACTTTTGGTTTCAAAGTGGTTGTCCTAGATCCCCCTGCGAGCCCTCTCTGGGGCTCCCGGTTTTTCCTTTCTCCTTGGCATTTTAGCTGCGCGAAGCGGCTTCGGACTCCCCTGCGAACTGTCGCTGGGACCCACGGTTTTTCCACAGCCCCTCGTGTTTTTTTCCGGGGCACGTTGCCACAGCGTTTGTTTCGCATGCTGTGCCACGTCCGCATCACTTCAGGCAGCGAGTTCGGACCTGGCTGCTTCAAAAACAACGCAGATCACGGGATACCTCTTGCGGGATGGCTGTTCCGAGTTCCCTGGCGAGCCCGCTGTAGATACCGACTTCCCATTCGCCGTCTACCATTTTGGGACGTGCTCCAGCATGCGCCGACGGTCCCAGGCCCAATGCAGGGTTTTCCTTTCTCTCTGTGTCCTCGGACCCGGAGCTTACGAACGCAAACTTTGCATTCGTAAACTCGATCGAGGCGCCTGCTGCATCTCTCACGCGCGGTCATCCCCGACAAGCCCGCAACACGATTTCTCTGGCGATGCGCACATCGCATTGAGAATGGTTTTGCTTGGGAATTGTTTCTGGCCGCCGAAGTTCGCACCAATGAACACATCCTTTCGATCACCCTGTTCTCACCGCCAAATGACCTATGTAAGTCCCAACTTAAATTTGAGTATACAAACGCAAATGCAAACTCGAGACCAGTGTCCGGCGGAACGAGCGTGAGCGTGACTCAGCGTGGCCATTTGGGCTGCTCCTCCTCGCCCTTCCAGCTATTTCACAGTGTCGTCATCACAGACTGCCGCGTGTCATCTTTCTCCTTGCTTGGCACCGCTTGGTATCCTGCAGCCGCCGCTGCCGCTTCGCAGCGGCAGCGCCCTAGGGGTCTGCTCGAGTTGGAACGCGTTCTCCCATAGCGGTGTTGCCCACACGGGGATGTGGCAGGAATTTTGGCTGGTCCCCTTCCTTCTTCTGCCCAGCCGGGCGCCGATCGATATTGCTACTCCCACTGGTGTTTTACACTACCAGATATCCCCTGCCTGCCACCGTCGGGCTGTAGTTGTCACTTCTGGGCTTCTGGGCCGATTTGGGCAACTCAACGCATGCCCCTGCAACGCAATACCTTGCCACAGAGAACCTCCACATCCCTCGGAATTCCTTTCTCATTCCAACTCTCTCTCGCTTCCCCTTCCCCCCTCGCTGTTGCCCGCTCCCCCTGCCCCTCTCCCCCTTGCTTCTGGAGCCTCCCGCAGGCCTCCAGAGCTCCCCGGAGGGCTCCCGCTATCCCAGAGGCCCCAGAGGGAGGCCCACGAGGACCTGCGAACGACCAAGGCATCGAAACGCCTCCCAGCGCCTGCGCGTGGGCCCCTCCTCCTCCTCCTCCCCCTCCCCCTCCTTCTCCCCCTCCTCGTCCTCCTCCTCCTCCTCCTCCTCCTCCTCCTCCTCCTCCTCCTCCCCCTCCTCCTCCCCCTCCTCCTCCTCCTCCTCCTCCTCCTCCTCCTCCTCCTCCTCCTCCTCCTCCTCCTCCTCCTCCTCCTCCTCCTCCTCCCAGCGCCTTCGCGTGCCCAGCCAGGCGTGGCCGCCCTCGGGGCGCTCGTGGGCAAGCTGGGCGGCAGGAAGGCCCGCCAGGGGAGGGCGGGAGGAGGCGGCGATCGAGGCCTCCGAGATGGGGTCCGAGCGGGTGGGGCGGTGGCGCCCTCGAGGGCGCCCGCGCCCTCTCGGCGCGGCGCAGGCTTCGGCGCACGCCCAACGCTGTGGTTGCAGACGCAACCCAGCTACTGGTGAGCGGGGTGCTCAGCGAATTTGTGGCGCCCTCGGGGGCGCGAAGTGATTCGCGCTTCGCGGTTCGGCTCCGATCTCTCCTCCTGGAGCGCGAGATGGGCACGGAGAGAAGGAGTAAAGCGCCCAACCGCAGTTCCTGTCCATTTTGAAGAGGATGCGCTGTCCGCGCCGCCGCGGCCTGTGTCCATTTGAGACAGAAGGCCGCCTGCCCAACAGCGGCCGCTGTTGGTTTGGGACAGCATTTGTTGTTGGTCATTGTACCCATTGTTTCCGTACCCATTTCGGGCGTCCAAATCCTAGATGGGGTCCGAGTGGATGGGGTCGAAGGATCGCGTCGCATCGCCGATGCCTCGTCGATGCATGGGCCATGCGTCGGCGATGCACTGGCGCCATCGGCGTGGCGAAAGTCGGGTTCTGTATCGAGCCGCATCGCCGATGCATCGGCGATGCGGCGCGATCCTCCGACCCCATTTACTCCGACCCTATCTGGGAGGCCTAGAGGTAAGCGCGATTTCTCGGAGTTTGAGTCTCCTTCGCCCTTCGTCGCCCCTCGTTGGAGATCCCCTGGTCATCGATCGTGTCTGCGGCTCGGAAGGCGCCAGCCACGCCCATGTTTCGCGTGCGCATCATGGGCCGGCGTGTGTGCGCGGAGGGGATCGCAGGGTGAAGTTTGCCCCGAGGCCTTCTTCAGTGCAAGCGCTGGTTGGGGAACATGCGATTTCGATCGAGCATAAGCTTGATTACAAGTACGTCGGACTGTTCAGGAATTAGCTGGCGCCGAATACAGTCACCGGGATGGGTCATATTATAATATGATTCTCAGGCGCACCACTCCAGGGGAGTGGGGCTCAGCGGCAATTAATTGAAGCCGTCCCGTCTCGTCCGCGATGTGTGTTGCCGTTCCATTGGGGACATCTTCAACATTCTGAAAATCGGGCGCCCCCCTCACGCAGATCTTGACGTCACGGTACAACTGTTTGATACAGAGCCGTCAACAAACACAGTTATGTTCCATGGTGTTGGATGCCGCCTTTTGAAAACAGCAGTTTCGTGGGAGACCCCCGCACAATTGAAACTGGACGTATTCAAAGTTGTCTTCACATTCTGCAAGCCGCCACACACATCGAATAGGAGGCACCTCCACATGCGTTCGACTGCGATCCCACCCTTGCAGCCTCCTTCCTGACAACCCCCTAGTGATCTTCATTATCGTTCGTTTCTCCCTTTTGCTCTGCTTCTCAGTCTTCTTCCTCCCCTTCCTCGGATCCCACCCCGTATCCCTCGTCGTGTCCATGTCTTGCGAGGCTTACGTGCTGCAGCTCTGCTCTTTTTGGTATGAGCCTGGGTGCGCACGCTCACCGTGTTTCGGCTGCGAGCGAGGGGGGGAGTTAGAAGAAGGCCTTCTCAGAAGGCGGCGGGACATCTCAGAAGCCCTCGTGCCTTCTGAGAGGTCGACTGCGTCTTCGGGGCAGGTGTAGGACGCTTCTCGGAAGGCCAGAGAACTTCGGAGCCTTCTGAGAGGGCCTCATTCATCTCATTTCCTCCCTCGCTCGCCGCCGATGTGAAAACAGCCAGCCACCTCACTGTCACGCGACGGGCAAAAAATCCAGCAGGCGATCCCTTCAGAGTCTCTGCGCGGGTTCTTGAGAGTCTCCACGCGGCCTCTTAAGATCTTCTGCGCGGCGTCTTGGAAGCCTCCGTGAGTTTCTGCTAGGTTCCTTAAGGTCGACCACGCGAAGAGGGGGCCAGGGGAAGGGGGGAAAGCTTGTTAGAAGCACTCCTGCTTCTTGAGAGGGCGGGCCTTGTCCATAGATGCAGGGTCGGCGCCTTCTAAGAAGCAGACTCCTTCTAAGAAGTCCCCCCCCCTACACCCTTGAGCGCGCCGCCAGTAGGAGTTTCCGAAAGGTTTTCGCGAGGCGTCTTTACGGTGTCCGAGAGGTCTCTGCGAGGCCGTTTGAGAGTTTTCCGAGTGGTGTCTTCGAGGCTTTTGAATGTTTTACGTGTTCCAAAGAAATGTTTCGGGGGTGGACAGACCTCCCACCCTGACACGTCGATTAGTGAATTGTCCATTTTCGAGTCTCGAGAGGGCGCCGCGGCCGTTATTTTCCAGGATTGCGCCCGCCAGGTTTGGGCCCGAGGTCGTTTCCACTAGACCACGTTTTACTACTAAAGGGGGTTCTGTCCTTTGTGGGCCCCGGAAACGGCAGGGCCGCCGTTTCCTAAAAAATGTCCCTTGAAAATGGAAACGGCGAAAAAACGGCGACCGGAAACGGCAAAAAAACGGCTTCAGGATTGGAACCGGAGCCGGAACCGGTCAAAAAACGGCGACGGAACCAGTAAAAAAACGGCGTCGGAAGTGGCGAAAAAACGGCAAAACGGAACCGGTAACAAAAACGGCCCTGTCGTTTCCAGGGCCCGCGAAGGTTCTGTCCATCCTTGAATGGCTGAAATGCCCCTTTCCCCAGGTACTGCGTGCCCGTAGGGGCTCCTGCGTACCTTCTACGGTACTCCAGATTCCGTAATAAAAGGGAGGGGGCCTGGACCCTCGAAGACACGCCATTTCAGACCCCCCCAGTGGGAGAACCCTCCCAAACATCGTCCCCAGACCCCCCAGGCCCTCCAAGATAGCCTGGAAGAGACCCCCCCGAAATGAGACCCCCCTCCCCTTCTTACGAAATCGGGAGTGCCTTTGCCCCGGTGGCGGCTCGTCGCCGCCCGTCGCCGCCCGTCGCCGCCCGTCGCGGCCGTCGCCGCGGGGCCCCCGGTGACGGTCCGCCCGGCTCGTGGCCGCCCGTCGCCGCCCGTCGCCGTTGGGCCCCCAGGGGCGGTCCAGCCGGCTCGCCGCGGCCCGTCGCCGCGTCGCGTTGCATGGCGCTGCACTGCGCTGCACTGCGTTGCGCTGCTTTTGCGCTGCCTCGCGCTGCTTTGCACGGTTTTGCGCCGCATAGCCTGCACCACACGGGCTGCACAGCCCAGATTCTAGACTGCACTGCGCTGACTGCACCACCCAGACTGCGCCGCATATAGACTGCAAGAAATTGCTGCTCGGGGTCCACGCTGACTGACTTGGTGACATGCGAGGAGGAGCGTCTGACATAGGGTTCTCAGAGGCGTCCAAAAGATTTCTCATAGGGCTCCGATCAACTTCCCAGACACTTACCACCTGCGCCCGAGAGACCCCCTCGAGACTTCCCAGCGGTTTTCCCAGCGACTTCCCAGAGATTCTCCGAGAGCTTCCTGAGAGTTTTCTAGAGGCTTTCAATTGGTTCCTGGCGTGTTTCCTGGAGGCTTGCGGAAGAACAAAACAAGTAATGATTTGAAAGTCGTAGCAGAAGTGGTGATAATTCTCAGACGTTTCGCGTAATCCCACCAGCCCATCCAGACAAGGTGCCCAGACGAGTTGCTCTGATCAGGGACGTGGAGGAGGATGCAGTGGAATAGGGGCAAGACGTCGTACCCCATGAGGGGGGATTGATGAGGAACCGTAGGAGGAGCAGCAGGAGTAGGAATAGAGAGAGTTGGAGGGGGAGGAGGGAGGAGGAGGGAGGAGGAAGGAGGATGAGGAGCAGGCAGATGAGGAGGAGGAGGAGGAGGAGGAGGAGAATGAGGAGAAGGATAATGGCGAGCAGAAAGGCCAGAGGCCTCTTAGATGTCTGTCGGATTCTCTTCGGATGTCTTTCGAGACTTTCTTGGAGTTCTCTTGCGGCGTATCGGTAGTCTCTTGGCAGTCCCGGGGGCCCCTTGAGGGGTCTTGGGTGCCTCTTGGGGGGCCTCTCGGGGCGTCTGGGAGCCTCTTGGGGGCATCTTGGGCGCCTCTTGGGGACCTTGGGGCCTCCTGGGCACCTCTTGGGGCCCTCTTGGGGCACCCTTGGGAGCCCCGAAGGCCATCTTGGGGCCATCTTGGAAGAGATCGATCAAAGGCGGGGGGCTTGATACTTAGGGTCCGCCCCCCGGAGGCCAAACTGTGGCCAAAACCTTAGCGCTATCATTGAGTTTGGCCTTCTCACCGGCCTCTCGGGGCGTCTTGGATGCCGCTTGGGGGGACCTCTTTGGGCGTCTTAGGGGTCTCTTGGGAGCCTCTAGGGGGGCATCTTGGGCGCATGCTGGTGGCCTCTTGGGGCCTCCTGGGCACCTCTTGGGCCCCTCTTTGGGCACCCTTGGGAGCCTCGAGGGGCCTTCTGTGGGCCAGCTTGGAGGAGTCTCATCAGAGGAGGGGGGCTCCTTACTTCGGCCCCGCCAGAGACCGACATGTGGCCCGCACGACGGTAGAGTCCATGAGTTTGGCTTCCTCGCCGAGGCCATCTTGGGCGCTCCCACGACCCGCCGAAAGCCCCATCCAGGTGCAGGGGTAGGAGGTAGGGAAGAAGAACATCGCTAAACCACTCACGCCCTAAGGGGTTGGTGGGATCAGTCCCAGTTCCAATGCCCATATTCAGTTAGTAGGAGTCCAAAGTAAGCACGCACACGACACTGGCATTATCATAGTTGTTCGAATCACCCGTAATCCCGCCACTGAGCAGCAATTCCAACATTCTAGCGGAACACGTTACACTTCAAACAAATAGCTACGACACGTGTCCAACAGTTGCGTGTACCGAGTCATGGTTTAATTTCGGATAGTTGGGCAATGGTGTCAAGCATCAGCAAATAGAATACAGAGTCGCAGTTCCAACCATTGGTTGCAAACAGCTGCGTTCAAATGAATAGCTGCGGTGCGATGCCAGCAGGCACCCAAGAAGAGGGACACTTGTAATAGTTAGCGGCAGCCGCAACACTTCTGCAGGATTCACCAGATTCAAACAGCTCGCTCGCTACAGTCACCGCTGTTAGGTAGACTTCGGCACATACACCATAACCACTGCCAGTTCTCAGCGCCAGGCTACATTAGCCACCATCCTAACCGTTAGATCCAGAATACCTTAACACCCCGGAATGAATTTACATTCTTCACGGTTCGCGTATCCCCACCAGTCCATTCGGAAACCTTGCCCGTGAGAGTTTGACGGACACGGGACGAAGAGGCACGTGTCGAGAAACAAAGAGGGCAACAAGGGTGCATGTATGGACCTCTGGGAGCAAGAGGTTGGTTTTGGAGGGCCTTTCCGCGCCATCCTTGGGGACCGCGTGGGGGCGAAGGAAGGAGGAGGAGGAGGAGGAGGAGAAGACGGAGGAGGAGGAGGATGAGGAAGACGACGACGACAACCACGACGACGAGAAAGGGAAGAAAAACGACTCGCAAGACGATGATGGCAAGGACGAAGACGAGGAGGAGGAGGAGGAGGACATCGAAGACGAGGACAGCGCCTTCAACATCGCCTCTTGGAGCCCTCTGGGGACTCTTTTGGGGGCTCTTTGGGTCCTCTTGGTATGTTTTTTGGGGGGGTGTATCGGGGCCTTCTTGAGGCCCTCTTGAGGCCCTCTTGGACATCCCTTGGGAGCCCTAGAGTGTCTCTTCGGACCATCTTGGAGGCCATCGATCAAAAGGGGGCGGTCCTGGATGTTAGCCTCCCCCTTCGGGCAATCAAATTCTTCCCTTGGGACTCTCTTGGGCAGATCTTGTGCGCTATTGGGGCCGTTTGGGAGGCCTTGAGAGCCCCTATTGGGGCTACCTTGGGCTATCTTGGGGCCATCTGGAGGCCTCAAAAGAACACACACCGTACACTACAGTGCTAGAAGTCACAAATCATTCATTTTCTTGCGGTGCTTGAAGGATGTTGGCCTCTTGGGGGGGTCCTGAGGGGGCTCCGAGGGCACTTGGAAGCGTCGTGTGGCCTCGTCGGGCGTCTTGGAGGAAGGTGTCCTGGAACCGCGTCGGCCATCGTGAGCCATCTTGGCGGCCATCTCTGGAGCATCGGGAGCCCTCTTGGAGCCATCTTGGGCCACCTTGGGCGATCGAACAGATCGCCCCCCCCCCCCCCGAGAGGAAACCTCAGGGAGGGGGGCGTGGGAGGCAAACCTCCCAGAATTGGAGAGATTGCTGGGGAAGAGGAAAGAAATAATCCGCCACCGTAGCCCAAAGAGCTGAAGGGATTCCGAGTATGAGTTAGACCTTCCCGCGATATTCCAATCACCATCATCACCAGCACCATCACCGAGCTCACTGTCAGATGCGTGTGTGCATGTGCAGCAAATCGCAGGTTGCTAGTTTTGCACAGATTGGCTCAATGTAGTTGCACGTCGTCCAGATCGCAACCAGTTTCACATAGCCCCAAGCACTCAATGAAGGCAGACCGTTGTATACTGAAGCCATACTCATAGCCCGTCCGCTACCAGACTATGTACCCATCGACACCCGATGTGTCGCAACCGGAAGGGGCCGACCATGACTGGATGCGATCGGTGCCGAATGGTTGGGATCGGTCGCATATAGGTGCGATCGGGCGACATCGCGTTGTCCATCTTGGGCCAGGATCGGTGTTGGCGTTTGATGGTCGGCGCCCCCCGCCCACACACATACACACACCAAGCCTCCAAATGATGTCCGCGGGGAGCACTAAGGGCATACCAAGGGGTTCAAAATGAATGCCAAGGTGGGTTATGCTTGGTCAAGCCTGGCTTTCACGTGGGCTACAAGTGCCCAGAGTGGCTTAGGGTTTTCAGATAACTTTGCCAAGTGGGCTCCGCCCACTTTGCCCGGACCTGCACCCGCCCCAGCCACTCAGGGCACTTGCAGCCTAAATGAAAGCCTTATTAGGTTAGATATAATCTTCTGTGGCATCAACTGATAACCCCCTCATTCCCTTAGCAGCCCCGGCGGTGATCCAAGTATCGTCGATGCGGCGCGATTTCCCGAGCCCATCTACTCGGACCCCATCTGAGAGGCCTCCACACACGGCCCCTCCCAACAGGCGCAGCGCGGCGCCCCCGACGCCCCGTCGGTCGAGGGCGGCGCTGAGGAGGGCTTGCCATTGCAGGGCCGCCCGAGGGAGGCGCGCCCAGCTCGCCGTCGTCGGTGGCGGTGGCATCGGCGTCGGCGTCGTGGTCGGGGAGGGGAGAGGGATGGAGCAGGGGAGGAAAATGCGTCGATACAGCTGCTCGTCCTGGAGAGCTCTGGTCGTCACGAACGGGTTCTCTTCGAAGTTTTGGCCACAACGCACCCTGGGAGAGATCGAGCCAGAAGCGGGATCTCGGAACAGATTCGCCCTCCCAGACAGGGGTGTGGAGCAGGGGAGGCGGGCCGAGGCGGAGGAGGGAGGAGAACAAGAGGGGGAGGAGGCTTCCGCCCTTCTCCCTTCTCCCTTCCCCCTTCCCCGTCCCCCTCCCTTCCCTCCTCCGCCGCCGCCTCCTCCTCCCGCAGCCGGGCCGCGTGTCTGGCCGGCCGCATGCTGCGACCCAGGGCACGCGCATTCCCGTCCCCCCCAGGATCGACCGCACGTTTCGAGCGAGGGGCGCTCACAGGGGGGAGGAGGTGCGCCAACTGGGACCCACCTACTCCGTCCCCTGGGAGCGGGACGGCACCGCGTGCACTTGGTGGCAGCACCTCTTGGGCCCCGGGCCGGCTCCCCACTTCCTGCTTTTTATCCTCCTCTTCCTCCTCCTCCTCGTTTTCCTCCTCGTCCCCTCCCTCCTCCTCCTCCTCCTCCTCCTCCTCCTCCTGCTCCTCCTCCTCCTCCCCCTCCTCCTCCTCCTCCTCCTCCTCCTCCACCTCCTCCTCCTCCACCTCCTCCTCCTCCACCCCACCACCACGCGCGCGGGGAGCGGGGAGGGAAGAATGGAGGACCAGGTGGAGCAGGTCGGGGAGAAGCATGAGGAGCGAGAACGGGAGAAGGAGGAGGAAGAAGAGGAGGAGGAGGAGGAGGAGTAAGAGAAGGAGGAGGAAGAGGAGGAGAACGAGGAGGAGGAGGAGGAGGAGGAGGGGAGGCGGAGGCATTGCCCTTTCCGTATTCGTGCTGTAGAAGAAAGAGGGAAAAGAGGAGAAGGAGGAGGTGGAAGACGAGGAAAATGGGAGGCAGGAAGGAAGAAGGAGGATGATGAGGAGGAGGGCGGAGGCTGAGGCGTGAGCCCTCGGTCTCAGCCCTGGAAGATCGCCTAGCCGCACTGGGCCCGGCATCGTCGGAGTCGTTCTGCTGCACTTGTCGAGCACGGCTGTGGTGCCTGAGGCTGCCCGCGCACTTTGACCCGTGGGCGAAGCGCACGTCCACATCCGTGGTCTCGCGGGCCGGGCCCCTGGGCCGCGACCCCGCGGCTACGGGGCGCCTGCTCGCGCAGAGCGTGGCCGTGCGACCGCGCACGCGCGGGATCGCGCCGCCGCCTCCGGACCGCGAGGGCGTGGGCGCGGCTGCGCACGCCCGCTGCTCGTGGCTTGCGCTGCGGCCCGGGGCTGGCCCGGCGGCGTGCCGAAGGGAGGCGGGCGGCGCGCCCGAGGAGGAGCACGGGGGGAGGAGGAGGCCCCCCCCGGCCGCCGAGAGGCTCGCCGCCCCCCCGCGTGAGGCGCCTCGGGCCTCGCCGGGCCCCCCCGCGCGCCCCTGCGCGCGCGAGGCCGCCGCACAGAGGCAGCGCGGCGCGCCGGGAAAAAAAGAGCGGCGCGGGATCGCGGCGGCGGGACCTGTGCCAGGAGTGACCTTTGGTGCGCGGGCCCCGAAGGTTGCCCCCCGAGCACTGGCTGGCGCGTGGAGCTGCTCGGGTTTGCCCTCCCCCCTCCCCCCTCCCCTCCCCCCTCCCCGTGGCCCCTTGATGCCGCGAGCCAGCGGTGACTCTTGTCTTGGGTCACTCTTGCATGCGGCCGACGGGAGGGGGGGGGACTTGGATCACCGCGGCGGGTGTCCAGGGAATGCGGTCGGGAACTTTGGCTTAGCGTGTCGCTCCGCCGGTTTTTACCCACCGCGCTTCGGCGCGTCAAGATATCCACGTCCCAGCCTCCGAGCGTCAACGTCCCAGGCTTTTCCAAGCCTCCCTCCCCGCGGAGTGGCGCGACTTGCTATCCGGTTGCAAGGTATAGCGTGTCGCTGGGGCCGCCACGGCGACACGCTAAGCAAAAGTTCCCGACCGTTGGGGGTTATAAGTGGATGCTAAGGCGGGTTGCATCTGGCCT